TTCTCGTAGTGTAGCTACATGTAACAGCTGTTCTCGTAGTGCAGTACAGTAACAGCTGTTCTCGTAGTGTAGCTACAGTAACAGCTGTTCTCGTAGTGAGTACAGTAACAGCTGTTCTCGTAGTGTAGCTACAGTAACAGCTGTTCTCGTAGTGTAGCTACAGTAACAGCTGTTCTCGTAGTGTAGCTACAGTACAGCTGTTCTCGTAGTGTATGCTTACAGTAACAGCTGTTCTCGTAGTGTAGCTACAGTAACAACTGTGCTCTAGTGTAGCTACAGTAACAGCTGTTCTCGTAGTGTAGCTACAGTAACAGCTGTTCTCGTAGTGTAGTACAGTAACAGCTGTTTCGATGTGCTAGAAAGTGTTCGTAGCTACAGTAACAGCTGTTCTCGTAGTGTAGCTACAGTAACAGCTGTTCTCGTAGTGTAGCTACAGTAACACTGTGCTCATAGTGTAGCTACAGTAACAGCTTGTTCTCGTAGTGTAGCTACAGTAACAGCTGTTCTCGTAGTGTAGCTACAGTAACAACTGTGCTCATAGTGTAGCTACAGTAACAGCTGTTCTCGTAGTGTAGCTACAGTAACAGCTGTTCTCGTAGTGTAGCTACAGTAACAGCTGTTCTCGTAGTGTAGCTACAGTAACAGCTGTTCTCGTAGTGCTAGCTACAGTAACAGCTGTTCTCGTAGTGTCAGTACAGTAACAGCTGCAGTTAGTAATACAGTCTGCAGTACAGTAACAGCTGCTGTTGTATACGGTGCAGTACAGTAAACTGCTCGGCAGTACAGTAACAGCTGTCCAGTACAGTAACAGCTGCAGTTAACAGTAACAGCGCTGCAGTACAGTAACAGCTGTCAGTAGTGTAACAGCCTGCGTATAGTAACGGCTGCAGTCAGTAACAGCTGCAGTATTGTAACAGCTGCAGTACAGTAACAAGCTGCAGCTACAGTAACAGCTGCAGTACAGTAACAGCTGCAGTAAGTAACGGCTGCGTACAGTAACAGCTGCAGTACAGTAACAGCTGCAGTACAGTAACAGCTGCAGTACAGTAACAGCTGCAGTATAGTAACAGCTGCAGTACAGTAACAGCTGCAGTACAGTAACAGCTGCAGTACAGTAACAGCTGCAGTACAGTAGTAACAGCTGCAGTATAGTAACAGCTGCAGTACAGTAACAGCTGCAGTACAGTAACAGCTGCAGTACAGTAACAGCTGCAGTACAGTAACAGCTGCAGTATAGTAACAGCTGCAGTATAGTAACAGGCTGCAGTACAGTAACAGCTGCAGTATAGTAACAGCTGCAGTACAGTAACAGCTGCAGTCAGTAACAGCTGCAGTACAGTAACAGCTGCAGTACAGTAACAGCTGCAGTACAGTAACAGCTGCAGTACAGTAACAGCTGCAGTACAGTAACAGCTGCAGTACAGTAACAGCTTGCAGTACAGTAACAGCTGCAGTATATAGTAACAGCTGCAGTACAGTAACAGCTGCAGTACAGTAACAGCTGCAGTACAGTAACAGCTGCAGTACAGTAACAGCTGCAGTACTAGTAACAGCTGCAGTATAGTAACGGCTGCAGTACAGTAACAGCTGCAGTATAGTAACACAGCTGCAGTACAGTAACAGCTGCACAGTACAGTAACAGCTGCAGTACAGTAACGCTGCAGTACAGTAACAGCTGCAGTACAGTAACAGCTGCAGTACAGTAACAGCTGCAGTATAGTAACGGCTGCAGTACAGTAACAGCTGCAGTACAGTAACAGCTGCAGTACAGTAACAGCTGCAGTACAGTAAACAGCTGCAGTACAGTACAGCTGCAGTATAGTAACAGCTGCAGTACAGTAACAGCTGCAGTACAGTAACAGCTGCAGTTACAGTAACAGCTGCAGTACAGTAACAGCTGCAGTACAGTAACGGCTGCAGTACAGTAACAGCTGCAGTACAGTAACAGCTGCAGTTACAGTAACAGCTGCAGTATAGTAACGGCCTGCAGTACAGTAACAGCTGCAGTACAGTAACAGCTGCAGTACAGTAACAGCTGCAGTATAGTAACAGCTGCAGTACAGTAACGCTGCAGTATAGTAACAGCTGCAGTACAGTAACAGCTGCAGTACAGTAACAGCTGCAGTATAGTAACGGCTGCAGTACAGTAACAGCTGCAGTACAGTAACAGCTGCAGTACAGTAACAGCTGCAGTACAGTAACAGCTGCAGTACAGTAACAGCTGCAGTATAGTAACAGCTGCAGTACAGTAACAGCTGCAGTATAGTAAACAGCTGCAGTACTAGTAACGGCTGCAGTACAGTAACGGCTGCAGTACAGTAACAGCTGCAGTACAGTAACAGCTGCAGTACAGTAACAGCTGCAGTACAGTAACAGCTGCAGTACAGTAACAGCTGCAGTATAGTAACAGCTGCAGTACAGTAACAGCTGCAGTATAGTAACAGCTGCAGTATGTAACGGCTGCAGTACAGTAAACAGCTGCAGTAAGTATAGTAAACAGCTGCAGTACAGTAACAGCTGCAGTACAGTAACAGCTGCAGTACCTGGACAGTAACAGCTGCAGTAGTACAGATAGTTATAACGGCTGCAGTACGTAACAGCTGCAGTAAGTAACAGCTGCAGTACAGTAACAGCTGCAGTACGTAACAGCTGCAGTACAGATGAAAAGCTGCAGTACAGTAACAGCTGCAGTACAGTAACAGCTGCAGACTAACAGTACAGCTGAACAGCTGCAGTACAGTAAACAGCTGCAGTACAGTAACAGCTGCAGTACAGTAACAGCTGCAGTATAGTAACAGCTGCAGTACAGTAACAGAAAACTGCAGTACAGTAACAGCTGCAGTACAGTAACAGCTGCAGTACAGTAACAGCTGCAGTACAGTAACGGCCTGCAGTACAGTAACAGCTGCAGTATAGTAACAGCTGCAGTACAGTAACAGCTGCAGTACAGTACGGCTGCAGTACAGTAAACAGCTGCAGTACAGTAACAGCTGCAGTACAGTAACAGCTGCAGTACAGTAACAGCTGCAGTACAGTAACAGCTGCAGTACAGTAAACAGCTGCAGTACAGTAACAGCTGCAGTACAGTAACAGCTGCAGTACAGTAACAGCTGCAGTACAGTAACGGCTGCAGTACAGTAACAGCTGCAGTACAGTAACAGCTGCAGTACAGTAACAGCTGCAGTACAGTAACGGCTGCAGTATAGTAACAGCTGCAGTATAGTAACAGCTGCAGTTAGTAACAGCTGCAGTACAGTAACAGCTGCAGTATAGTAACAGCTGCAGTATAGTAACAGCTGCAGTATAGTAAAGCTGCAGTATAGTAACAGCTGCAGTATAGTAACAGCTGCAGTACAGTAAACAGCTGCAGTATAGTAACAGCTGCAGTATAGTAACAGCTGCAGTATAGTAACAGCTGCAGTACAGTAACAGCTGCAGTACAGTAACAGCTGCAGTATAGTAACAGCTGCAGTATAGTAACAGCTGCAGTACAGTAACAGCTGCAGTATAGTAACAGCTGCAGTATAGTAACAGCTGCAGTACAGTAACAGCTGCAGTACAGTAACGGTCTGCAGTATAGTAACAGCTGCAGTATAGTAACAGCTGCAGTACAGTAACAGCTGCAGTATGTAACAGCTGCAGTATAGTAACAGCTGCAGTATAGTAACAGCTGCAGTACAGTAACAGCTGCAGTATAGTAACAGCTGCAGTATAGTAACAGCTGCAGTATAGTAACAGCTGCAGTACAGTAACAGCTGCAGTATAGTAACAGCTGCAGTATAGTAACAGCTGCAGTACAGTAACAGCTGCAGTATAGTAACAGCTGCAGTATAGTAACAGCTGCAGTATAGTAACAGCTGCAGTACAGTAAACAGCTGCAGTATAGTAACGGCTGCAGTATAGTAACGGCTTATTTTACGTCGTTCGTATCATTCGAATATTAAAAAATATAATAATTTTAATTTAGATTCACATATAAAAGTCTATTTAAGCCCAAAAAGCCAAGTAGAGTGAACTAGTTCTACACATCTGGCAGCGGGGGTGTCTCCATAAAACGTACTTAAACGTAAAAATCTGCGCGTTTTATCACAGGTACTGTGAGGACAGGGTTGCCATTCTTGTGGAAGAGTCGTCAAAGACGAATGGGCAGGAGGAACTGTAAATGTACACAACTTTTTTTTTTGTATATTCTACAAACTTGTTATGAATATATTTTTTTCCTCTTCGCATTATATTTATCAGCAGTCTCTTATATTCCATTACCAGTTTCCTTCCTCAAATAACCACAAATAACCGGCACACAGGAGGGAGAAGCTTATGACGACCTTCCAGTCCGACTTGCAACATTTACTTGTAAATGGTCTCTCTTTGTGTGTTGTTCCAGTCACGGTGCTTTGCCTTTTTTGTTCTTTCTTAATGTAGTATTAAAAAAAAAAATCCGCATCTGGTTCTTCTTCCTAGCATTTCATTCGTTTAAAGGCTCATTCATCATTTGCTATTTCATTATTTTATTAATGTATTGTACACTTACGCATGTTTTAGTTAATTATAATTATCAAAACAAAGCGTTGAACCACCATACCCCCGGCCGGGATTGAACCCGCGGTCATAGAGTCTCAATCCCGGCCGGGGGTATGGTTTGTTTGCAATCGTGTCATTACGATTTCTTGAGTCACGTTGAACCACCAGGGTCATACAGCGCTCCTTACATTTTGGCTAGAAATTAACAGGAATTTCAGTTGAGAGATGGATCACTTTAGCCCTGTGGTTACTCATTAAGAATATCACCTATACATTGCTTTCTCTCGCATGATGACCCGCTTAGTACCTCCTTAAAGTGTTTAAGAGTTCGTTTCGTGTCCTTGATAACACAAGATCACTCCAGAAGCACTTGTTTAATGTCATGGAACCAGGAGCTGTCCTCACCGCTATTAGTTATCATGGTTGGATAAATACTGTTGTTGTGGGAGTGGGTGAGTGGGTGTACGATGGTGACCTACCTGTTGGTCATTAATGTACCAGGTGAGGGTGGCCGGAGGTATGGACCTTGGGGCTGTGCAGGTGAGGTTGACAAGGTCACCCAGCCTGTACTCTGTCTCTCCTCCAGTGACCTGGGGTGACCCGCGGGGAAGCTCTGAAATTAAAGCAAAAAGAATTATATTACCTTGACGTGCTGTTGGAGTGTGAGCATTGTAACATTTATGAAGGGATTCAGGGAAACCGGCAGGTCGGACTAGAGTCCTGGAGGTGGGAAGTACAGCTCCTGCACTCTGAAGGAGGGGTGTTGATAAGTTGCACTTTCATAACTGTAGTGTAAGCGCGCCTCTGCCAATACAGTGATGGAGTGAATGATGATGAAAGTGTTTCTTCTTTTCCGGGTCACCTTGCATTGGTGGAAAACGGCCGATGTGTTAAAATAAAATAAAAAAAAATATTACCAATGTTATCGGAATAATCACACACACACACACACACACACCACACACACACACACACACACACACACACACACACACACACACACACACACACACACGCACACTCCCTTCACTGACCAGAGGGCAGCAGCGAGTCACGGAACGTGACGAAGTGTCACGTTCAGTCCAAGGATCGGTGCTGTTTCTGTTATATATGAATGATGTAACGGGTGGAATAGACACAGAAGTGTCCCTTTTTGCAGATGATGTGAAGTTAATGCGGAGAATTTAGTCGGGGGAGGATAAGGCAGGACTACAGAGGGATCTGGATAGGCTGCAGGCCTGGTCCATCAACTGGCTCTTGGAGTTCAACCCCACCAAGTGCAAAGTCAAGAAAATCGCGGAAGGGGAAAGAAGACCGAAGGCAGAGTACAGTCTAGGGGGCAAAAGACTACAAACCTCTTTTAAGGAAGAGGATCTTGGAGAGTGTATAATAACGAGCACATCTCCTAAGGCGCACAACCAAACTCCTGCAGCATGTTGGCGAGTAGTGAACCTATGACTAGCATTCCGACATCTCAGTAAGGAGTCGTTACGGGCCCTGTACACACACACACACACACACACACACACCACACACACACACACACACACACACACACACACACACACACACACAATATATATATATATATATATATATATATATATATATATATATATATATATATATATATATATATATATATATATATATATGTCGTGCCGAATAGGCAGAACTTGCGATCTTGGCTTAAATAGCAACGCTCATCTTGCCATATAGGACAAGTGAAAATTTATGTATGCAATAATTTCGCCCAACTCATTCTGAACCTAACGAAAAAAATATATTTCACTGGGTTTGATTAGTATTAAATTATAGTAAACAAATCTAAAATATATTTAGTCGGGTTAGGCTAAAATACATTGTTCTTGTTATAATAAGGTTAGGTAAGTTTTCTAAGTTCCTTTTGGTGCAAAATTATAATTTTTTACATTAACATTAATGAAAAAAATATATCTTTAAACGTATAAGAGAAAATTTCAGAAAGGACTTAATTTTAAATGAGTTTTTGCTAATTGACCAGTTTTACTTATTCGGCACGACATATATATATATATATATATATATTATATATATATATATATATATATATATATATATATATATATATATATATATATATATATGCACAGGTAGGTACCACCTCTGCAACAGGACTGGGGGCCCTCATCCTCAGAGAAGACAACAAACGTACCTCAGGGAAAACTCAAGCAGCTCCCCGGAGCTGTTGGAATATTTTCTTCTCCTACCACCTGCTATATTTTATATGCTATGGGAAATTTTATTAATAGACAGAATACACTTACAGAAAACACAAACATGAATACACTGGTACAATATATAAAAAATTATGAATCTCTTCCAGCTCCCCCGAAGCAGGAGGTGTGCCAACTATGCAGCAAGCATTTCCCCTCTGGATGGCCACGCTGAGGCGCTGGAGCATGAAAGTTGCTACCTTTGGGTCCCTGGTGGTGTCGATGAGTCTGGAACCCAGTTCTTTAAGAAAACGTGTGGCATTTTCTCCCCATGATCCCAAGGTCTCTGATCCCACTGGGACAAGTTGATACTGTTGGCTTATGTCCCTGTACTTGCCGATCTTGTAGACCTCCCTGTGGTCAGCAGCTCCTCCCTATCGCCCCACACTGTGATGGATATAGGTGTCAGCCAGTGTGGACACACAGGCATAGTCCCATGGTAAGAGCTTGCTATTCTTCCAAGGATAGATGGTGATCCCGTCGGAGCAGTTTGCTGGATTGTGAGTATTGTTGGCTACTAGTGATTGGGCCTCTCTTTCGGCTGGGCATACAGCTGTAACTAGGGTTCTCTTTATGATGTCATTGACTTTATTGTGTCTTGCATGCCAGCCCTTGGCTTTGGAACAGTTAAGACCATGTAGTCCATATTGGTCGGCTAGTACATCGCCGCAAATACACGAATATTCCATGTAAGCTGGGGCAACAAGGCACAGCGCCACTTCACTACAGACGGTCTTAGGGTCGAGGCGTGTTCCCATTGCCGAAATGGGAACTGTTTGGAGGAAGTCCCCGGAGTGAAGTGCACTCACAACTTGGAGACGGGCAGTCTCCCTGTCTGATGTTACAGCCATAAGCATGTTGGAAAGCACCTTTTCAGTGATGGGGCCATCCCATATATATATATAAATATATATATATATATATATTATATATATATATATATATATATATATATATATATATATATATATATATATATATATATATATATATATATATATGCAATAAGATCACAGTAAACAAGTGATTTCAGAATATGCAAAACAACCACTCTGAAAGAATAGAGAAATTCCAAGCGCTTTCGTGACTACTCACATTATCAAGGAATTATGAAAGTAAAGCATCCAAGGAAGGTATATAAGGGGGTCTGGCCAACACCTCACTATCAGATCCCACAACGGTTAAACACCTGACGCGCGCCGGCCCAACTGGACAGGTCCTTTGCAAAACCACCAACAAACTATTCTACCCAAGAAAATTTTTAAAATCATTATTTGTCCAGTGTATTATTAAATTCTACCCAAATTCTATTAATTATAAATGGATCTAATTTATATAAACCAAAGGAAATATTCATATTATTGTTTCATAAAAAGCAGTTTTGACAATAATATGAATATTTCCTTTGGTTTATATAAATTAGATCCATATATAATTAATAGAATTTGGGAAGAATTTAATAATACACTGGACAAATAATAATTTTAAAAATTTTCTTGGGTAGAATAGTTTGTTGGTGAGTTGTGCAAAGGACCTATCCAGTTAGGTCGGCGTGCGTCAGGTGCTTAACCGTTGTGGGATCTGATAGTGAGGTGCTGGCCAGACCCCATTATATACCTGCCTTGGATGCTTTACTTTCATAGTTCCTTGATAATGTGAGTAGTCACGAAAGCGCTTGAAATTTCTCTATTCTTTCAGAGTGGTTGTTTTGCATATATATATACATACATACATACATATATATATATATATATATAATATATATATATATATATATATATATATATATATATATATATATATATATATATATGTGTGTGTGTGTGTGTGTGTGTGTGTGTGTGTGTGTGTGTGTGTGTGTGTGTGTCGTGCCGAATAGGCAGAATTTGCGATCTTGGCTTAAATAGCAACGTTCATCTTGCCATATAGGACAAGTGGAAATTTGTGTATGCAATAATTTCGCCAAAATCATTCTGAACCTAACGAAAAAAATATATTTCACTGTGTTTGTTTAGTATTAAATTATTGTAAACAAACCTAAAATATATTTAGTTGGGTTAGGCTAAAATAAATTGATCTTGTTATAATAAGGTTAAGTAAGTTTTCTAAGTTCCTTTTGGTGCAAAATTAAATTTTTTTACATTAACTTTAATGAAAAGAATATATCTTTAAACGTATTACCTGGAGAGAGTTCCGGGGGTCAACGCCCCCGCGGCCCGGTCTGTGACCAGGCCTCCAGGTATAAGAGAAAATTTTAGAGAGAACTTAATTTTAAATGAGTTCTTCCTAATTGACCAGTTTTACATATTCGGCACGACATATATATATATATATATAATATATATATATATTATATATATATATATATATATATATATATAATACATATTATTGTAACCACGAATGAGTGGTATTGATCAATAACAACACTGCGCTAGCCAAGGATTCGAACCCTTGTTGTACTGGCCTGCCTCATGGTAAGCTAGAACCACATGACGCTTTAAATCACAGGACCACCCAACCCTACAAGAATGGCGCAGACAGTACTCCCTCGGATGGCGGCCTAACAGCTAGCTGTGTGCTGGCTGCGCCATTCTTGTTGGGTTTGGTGGTCCTGTGGTTTAAAGCATCATGTGGTTCTCGCTTACCATGAGGCAGGCCAGTACAACATGAGTTCGAATCCTTGGCTAGCGCAGTGCTGTTATTGATATATATATATATATATATATATATATATATAGTAGTGACAAATAATAACACTGTGACTAGCCAAGGAGTCGAACCCATGTCCGCCTCATGGTGAGCGAAAACTCATAACGATTTAGTCCACGGGACCACACTATCCTTAAGAACGGCGCATCCAGCAAAGCTAGATGTTGTACCCGCCATGCAAGGACATACGTTGGTGTGGATGCCAGGTGATGTTTTAGTGGTAGGAAACGTAAAAAGAAAATGGAAGGAAATAACAAAAATAGTCCACCACCTTGGAACCTTGTTGAACTGGAGGCGCAGCCAGTGGCCACCCATGGCCCTCCAGAACTACAACTAGTGATGTCAATAACAAAATCCCCCCAACAAACACAGAATACAACCTCATTCCTATTTGCTAATATACAGGGCCTTAAGCCATCCACCAACAACAAAATACCTTTTATCAGTGGACCTCTAAAGGAGTCTAATGCAATGTTTGCAGCCTTCAAAGAGACTCACACAAAAGATCACTTTGACAGTGAAATATGGATAAGTGGTTACAACCTTTTTAGATGCGACAGAAAAAACAGGTAACAAGGGGGGGTTGGCCTGTATGTCAAAGAGTCCCTCATCTGCACAGAGTTGCTGAACACCACAAATGAGGTAG